TCCTTCTACACAGGAGCAATAGATGGAAATGCAGATGAGGGGCTGAAGTTCTGTACGCTCTTGATGATACAAGAACAGGAGAACCAAAGGAAATAAAGTTTTGGAAGGAATCTTTGCAATGGATAAGACTGAAACAAATTACATGTTTGACTCATGGGGTTTTTTTTTTAATCTTTATAAAAGCTAAGACAGTAAGCTTTTTATGAAATATAAATTAAGGTGCCTTGGTTATTGGGAATATATTCATCTGTGTAAAGAGCACACAGTATTTTTTCCAGCTGAATTTTGAGTGGCAGAACATGTAACCAGTGCTGCTGGTGAGTGCCAGGTGGAACCTAACACTGGATAAATAAAATAGTGTTGTGTTTCAAATGTTGTGTTTATAATGGAGGGTGACTTTCCATGAGGAAATACAGATGGGAATTGTTTTCGCCTTGGTCTGTGAACTGTGGAGAGGAAGATTATCAGGAACGAGATGCATTAAGAAATGATCCAGAAGGATATGAATACAGATGTTTGGGAAGCTGGAGGAGTTCAATAGGGAAAGGCCTTCAGGAGAGCCCAGTTGACAGTACTTTGCTGTCTGAACATTTCTTTCAATATTCAATATACCTGCTGTTTGAAGCCTCAGTAGTTTGCCAGTTGTAGCCTTAATCCTCTGGTTTATGGAAGGGTGAGGGAAGTCGAGTGGCGAGATGCAGCTAAGATCAAATTGGCCCTGTCAATTATTAGTTATTAGATTTGCAAATAAAATAGAAAAGCAGAGTAACACAGGCTAGCTAATATGTGTCTTGGCCCTTTATTCTGCCTGTCCCATCCCTATTTGGTTATATTTGTTGCTTTTTGAAGATGGGTCTTGTGAAGGCATTGTCATTCTCCTTTTCTTTAAAAGGAGTTAGTATAATATGTTTTCTAGTTATATCTGTAATTTTCTCCAGCATCTTGAGGGTTTCTGAGCTACAGGTTTTCTTCTACTTAAAAAGCAATTTTAATATAACTTTGGTGTTATGTGTCTAGCTAGCAATGTAAAGGATGTTGTATGTCTGTGTCAAAGTAATTTCATCTTTAGAAGCTAATTAAAAAAATCAAATTAAATTCCTGAAACTTGTCAGCTTTGCTCTCACACCACATATTGCATTCATACATTGCTTTTTATTTTCTATGTTTTCTCAAGTACAGTGATCAGAAATCACAATTTCTCTGGATCTTGTATAATAGTTGGTATATTCCATTTATGGTTCAAATAGGGAATGATAAATTACTGAATAAATATAAGATGAAAGACTGCATTACTCACATTCAGCAATTAACATAAAAGCCATGGAATTAAAACAAAAACATCTTATTCCCAATACACATAACTCTTTTCCAAGTACCTACAGACTTTCAGAATCCTTTCTAAAAGGGAAGCCTGCAAATATCAGATCATACTGATGTTTAGATGTTAGCACAGATGAGATGTGTGCTAACAAAGGTGTTTCAGATATTCTCATACAGAGCACAGTCTATTTATCCAGTTGTTCAGAGATGTCTTTTACACTAGGTACCTTAAAAAGGGAACATCTTAGTCATCTTGAAATATACATGCCCAGTCACTTCACCGTACAGAACTTCTGTTAGAAGCAGTGGAATTAATTCAACCACTTCTCAGACTTGCTATGTAGGTGATACAGTAACTGTTTGAAGGAGAAGGCTAAATTTAAAGTAAAAAATAATTCTCATCTCTACAGATGGTGAAGTAGAAATTTTGGGAAGTTCAGATGAAAGTTTTTCTGATATATTTTGGTACTGTTAAATGGATCATAAGGTATTCATATATAGCTTGATCTGAGAGCAAAATAAAAAAAATAGTATTGCTTACTTAGAATTTGACTGCTGAGTAGAAATATACAGACTTATTTGTGCAAACTGTGTGTGGATGATTAAATATATGAAAAGAGTGTAATGGTCAGGATATGGCATCTTCAATATGTCATATTGTACAAAAATTTTAAAAATCGAACCAGGAAGAAGGGTAAATTCGGTGTAGCAGAAATCCACTTTTAGGACAAGTTCACTTTTCTTAACAGACTACTTCTTCACACGAACTTTACTTCACAAAAACATATAGACATGTTTTCTTGACATGAAATTATAAAACTTTAATTGTTTTGCCACTTACTTGTGTGCTGAGAATAATATTAACCTGGTACAATGAGTTTAAGAGTGACTATCAGGCATACAGCTTTCAAATATACCATTAATGAAGTGACTGTTTCAGTGTTTGTCTGCTTCAGTGGCTTGCATAAAGATTTTGGTAAGAGGCAAGTGTTTCAACTGAAAGTTCAGAGGTTCAAGTGACCTGTTGGGAATCTGATAACATTAGAACAATGGTTGCCTTCAAGAAGTGTCCTGAAGGATCACCCCTTCAACACATGTTCAGTATTACAGTGCAATTAATCTTTGTGGCTCAACAGTAAAACCTTTATTCACATTATTTCCAAGTTGTCTTCTTGTCTGTAACCAATTTCCAGAAGCAGATGTCAGTGCACACATACTGAGCCTTCCTTAAAGGGCTTTGCTCTCCTTGAAAGATAGCAATGGTTTTGTGAGTTAAGTGGTCATATTTAAATCCAGAAAGGCAAAATGTAAAGTTCTGGAGACAAAATATTCAGATCATACAGCACTCAATTTACTTCAAGCAATTGAAAACCAAAAAGTAATTTAATTCACTTCTCAAAGGAAACACAAGTGTCTGGGATATCTGATTAACTCATTTCCTCATCTGACACCTACCACTTTACAGCTTCAACCTTCCCACATCAAAGAAAGGTACTTGACATGTGCTAAGGCTCAGGATTGAAATGGGAAGAACCTGAACTTCTGAAGAAGATTCACATATTCATATTCTTATACTATTCATAGGAGTTTCAGCTAGCTCAGTCTCCAGGGAAGAGAAGCCACCCCTTTCACTCATTTGATCATCATTTCTTCAATCAGATCAGGTCAGATCAGCCTTTCTTTAGTCAAACCAGTTCTCTACTAGCTGTATTATAAGTTGGATTTTAAGGTAGACTTCTGTACTTAATGTACTGTAGTGCTTAGCAGATGGACAGATGCATCACCTAGTTAGTTCATATTTCTAGAGAATTTAAATGTTTTTATATCCCCCTCCCCAGGTTTAACGTGGATCATGGCATTATAAAAAAACCTGCATAGGAATGTTGAAGTTGAGGTGAATACCTGTTTCCATTTGCCTTATTGCTGCATTCAGTGAGACAATGACTGAACACTTGGAAAGATAAATAATAGATTTGGGAAAAAATGCATTTTGGAAAAAGAAATTAAGTTGCAGAAATTAAACTTTGTTGTTTCTCTTAGAAAGGAGAGGACCAGTGGGGGAGAGCAGTAACAGAGGAGAAACTGCAGATTTCTAGAATACACAAAATAAGCTTGTAAGAGTGTTATGTTCTGAACACTGTAAGACAGCAAGAAAATTTTTCTGTCTTAACACATGATGCCAGTATGAGTTTTCAAGATATGCGTGATGGCTTTATTTTGTCAGCCCCTTTGAATTGTGCTCACTTGCATTAAAAAAAATATACAGGCACACACCTATATACTATATTAATTATATATTAATCAGACTAATTCTGAATGGAAATTATATCCTCTTTTTAGAGGGGAAAGTGCAGAATACTTTTTAGAGGAGAAAAGTTAAATTTCTGAGTGTAAACCAACAAGCATTGTAGCAAGCCTGAGAGTGTGGTTTGAACCTGTACCTTTACAATTTACAAAAAACTCATGAACTCTGCAACATGTCTAGACACCTTTTCTTAATCAGAACACCTTGGAAACTGAAAACCATGAAGTAATATTTCTGTTAAATAGCCCAGTGCTGGTTTGTTTGTTTATCTTTTCTGTAAAGGCAGTTTACTGCAATTCAAAATCCATAAAAAACAGGGAGCAACTTCTTCCCTCCTACTAAACTGACATCTGAATGCTTAAACTGGAAAAGCACAAAACCTAGCTAAATGAAAAAAGCTTGCAAGCCTTTCAGAAGAAATTCCATCAGGTCCACCATGCATTGATTTATAATAAATATAGCTATAGTGTATGTTGGCAAATAGAAAACGGAAAAGTGACTCAGTAGAAGCAAGAGCAACCCAGAACATGTGAAAGTCAAATGCCTTTTTTATGTGCCTGAAATTTTGGGTCACTTGGGTACCTTTTTCTGCAGAAATACAGTAATATAAAAAGCAGTATTACATTAAAAAAAAATTAGGAAACTTCACTAGATTAACTTTTTAACTGAATGCCTTGAGTAGATTAAATGGTATCTATTGGGGTAAAATTGGAATTGCCTCAAAAAAGAACAAAAACATGTGAGACTCAGATTCCTCATTTATGGTTGAATTTCAAAAGGCCAGGAAGAATGTGCTTTGAGTTTTGAGATAGATACTGGACCAAGTCTTTATCATTGGTAAAAGATATTACATGCCAGCTCTAATAGCGAAAGATCATTTTCCTTGTGAATACACATAATGATTACATTTTTCCTGAGCATGTAATTAACTCATTCTAATGTTACTTTCATTTTTGCAGTAAGCTGCATTTAGACTGAAGTAGGAAAACACTTGATAGGACATTTTGATCAATACTGATCTGAGATGGTGTGAGGGGAGATAGCATGGGACATGTGATCCAAGAGCACTTTTTGGGCAAATGCTGAATCATCTGCAAGGAATGATAAATACTAGATATATGGATTTAGAGAAAGCCTTATAGCCAACAGAGGAGATGAAAAGTTGAGCAGGATGAGGATAATGAAAAGGCTATTTTGTCAAAGTGAGGAAGAGAAAGAAATGCTTTAAATTCTTATGTCGCCCTTCCCTACATCATCTTTTTTAGTATTTTGCTATTTACAGCTGTCGTGCCTTAAAAGCTGTATGTATATATATGTGTGTGCGTGTGTGTATAAACAAACCTCTATATAAATAAATTTATGTTTATTTCAACAGAATGCTGAAATTTCCGTATTTGAAGTCAACATTCGATTCGTCGGTGGACTACTTTCAGCTTACTATCTTTCAGGAGAAGAAGTAAGATGGTTTATCTGACATATCATCATCTAGATAAGTCATTCAATTTAAGTTTTATAATTTTATTTATCCAAATTAAATAATTTCATTTATCCATCTTTTACAACTTTGAAAATGGCTTGTACAGTAGAGACCAGTCCAATGGGTCTTCTTGCTTTTATTGCTGCTGCTTTCTTTAAATCCTAAAGCTATTACTTCATTTAAGTGTTAAGTGATATATTGGTTTTTTTCCTGAGTGGGAGTCACGCCCAGTATGTCTTACTGGGCTTCTTGCTAGAGTGTGTAATTATGGAGTTCCTACTATATGGTAGTGGTAGTTTTGGTGCATCAGCTTCCTGCTTCCCAAATGGAATCTGGGAATACGTTCCCAAATGTATTTCAAGTGTACCCTTGAACTCTTTTAAACTGTTACTTTGTGTTTGCCTCGCTGAACCTGAGCTTCAAGTCACATGGAGAAGACATGATAAGAAAGAAAAGGCAGCTGCAAACCTATACGTGTGAATGTTATTAAAGCATTAATAAACCATAAATCTCTATTTCCTGTCACAGTTTCTGCAGAAAACAAAGATGCAGTTTCATCTTAGAGCTTTGTCTAAATACAATTACTTGTGTGATATTTTTTGAGAAGGCCAAAAGAGTCGCAGGTACCCTTTTAAATGACACATATTGTGATATTTTCAAGTTTTAGTTTGGCAGATGAAAAGTCTTTAATCTTACTAGTTTAAACACATGTTTCTGTCTCTGGATTATAGTAGTATTTTGTTGCAGGATGACACAAGTTGGTACTCTTTAAGCATAAATTGAATTTCTCATTCCTTAAATCCAAAGCAGTTACTGGTGGAAACTCTACAAATCCAAGAAAGTTAATTTTTTTCATAAGTCAATTTCCCAAATTCTAGGTAGAGCTCTGTTTTGAACCTGTCACTTTAAATTACCTAAATTCTATGGCTGTGCATGATTATTTTTTGCTAAAATTTATCATTATGTTAAAGCTGTTTTAGCAGGTACTGCTGGGTCATATACCTGACAAAGCAGTTACAAGGAGACAATGGTCCTCTGACACTTTTATGTCTTAAATAGACTAACCTGCTTATTTCACATGGACCTGTGCTGAGTGTAAATGGTATGGAAAAGACATTCATGTCTTAAAATGCATAGGTTTGGGAAAAAATGCAGTCTGACACTTAACAGTAATGAAAAAAAATGAGAGGTGCTTGGGAGCAGGCATCTGGATCTTTGCTAGATATTGTTTTACTTATATTTCTTCTCTTTTCACTGGAGATCTGGGAAACAGGTGTGGGCTTTTCTAGCATAACCTATTGGTACACTTTAATTATCCAGTCCTGACAGAAGCAGAGGATATTTCTTGGCAGACAAGCTGGTAAATGAATGTTCATGGGCCTTTACATCAAGTGGCAGTTTGTCTGCCAGGAAGTGCCTTAATCCTTTTTCATCAGTGCTGGTGATTTCGTATGTATGTTGATGGTTTATGTCCTGTGTCTGTTAATGTGCAGTCTCACTTTCAATCAGCGTGTATAGTTCCTCCTAAATAACACCTAGTCTTTGCTTCTCAACCATTCCTTCATCCTCCAATAGGCAGTTTTACCTCTCCAGCTAGATTGAAAGCAGCACTCGTGTTCCAGTAAAACTCTTGCACAAATCTAATGAGGAGACATCTGAAGCAGAAGAAAGTGTTTCACACAACACATAATTAGATGGAACTCTTTGCAGTGGAACTTTGGTGCTAAGGGATGCTAGTGCCCATTCTAAAATTGATGGACTTGGTGATGAAAGTAAAATGGACTCTTACATACAGAGAAGAGGTTTATTATTAAGGAGGCTGCCATGCTCTTGCAGGCCAGGAAGGGCATCCTCCACTCTTGCCACTGGTTCTCACATTCTCTGTTAGGCATCTGCTGTCCAAGATAGAATGATGTCCCTAAACAGTTGTTCTGGTGGCTTAGAGAGTGCAATTCAGCATGCTCTGCCCTCATCAGATTTGGGGAAACTTCATGATTTGTCTCCTAAATCCCAAGATGCTGTGGCAATAGCCAACCTCTGCCAGTGGACAGAATGGGATGCAGCAGGGTGAGGTTCTCCTGTATTATGTGGGTCACTTTTCCCTGCTGCTGGTGAGAGGTGTGGAAAGGCTTGAGGGCCCCACAGGCTGGCTGGCACTATAGAAAGTATATCTTTAATAATCTGTTAGTCCATTACATTAGTGGGTGTTCCTAAAAAGGTAGCACAATCTGTATGCACGCTGATTGAAGGATTAAACTTCCTCAGTTAAAAGCTCAATTAATTCTTTATCAGATTAACTATTAAAAAAATCTTATATTTGCTGTGCTCATTTACCAGTATTCTAATTAAAGAAATCTATGTTTCAGTAGAAGGAGTGATGGAAATAATTATTGTTTGTGCTTCTGAATTACATTTCCATGGGTAATGATCCAAAGCTGCAACACATTGTATGTTCCATAATCATTTGTAAGTCTAACTAATCACGATTAAAGAATATGCTATCATACTGAGTAGTTCCTAAAACATCCTCCTCACATAATAGTTCATTTAGATAAAGTCACCAATGTGAATCATTCTAAAAATGAACAAATTGAATACTTTACCCCTTGATAACTATATGTGCTGCTCACCTGCAAATAGAGCCATGAGATTCTTTTTGTTAAATTTCCTACAATTTCTATCTTACTAGAATTAATATGAAATACCTTAAAGTGCTAGAAATGTTATATGCCTTTTTTTTTTTTTTTTTTTTTTACTGTGGTATCTGTCTAAACCCAAGTCAAAAAGAGTTTCATTCAAATATCAACTTCATTTGTAAAATAGCTACATATATCAGAAAACTTAAAATTAAGATGAGTAACTGTTTAACTGCTGGTCTTTTTTCTGTTTTTGTTCGTGGTTTTTTGTTGGCTTCTTTTGGGTTTTAAGTCCCTAATAATATTGCATGTGAATGCTTTTCTTGGTATTTTTTCCATAAGTCACTAGCTGTAAAGGATTATTAAAAATAAACCTGGCTCCTTAAAAGTACTGCTAATATTGAAAATCTTTTTGTTTGTATGAAAGTATCTTTAGGAAACTATAATATAATAGATTTATCCCACAGGACTGGGACAGATTTTTTTTCAAACTTTCTTGATCATTTTGTTCAAATTAAACCTTGATTATATACAAGATATGTCTTAGAATCTTGGAAGATTCCTTATTTAAGTATTTTTTTTTGTTTTGAAGTGAAAAATAAAAAGTAAGGGAGAAATTTGTTTTACAACTGTCTTGCTGTACTTACTAGTTTGATGTTAAATTTTGGTATACCAGGGGTCAGGAGTATTGCATGCAGCAAGGTCCTCTGTTCTGCAGACCCAGATATTTACACTTCCAAATGTAGTCATATAAGGACACAATTTATTAACTTTTGGGGGACTGAACCCTCTAACAGTAACTAAGATCTTTCTTGGAATTCATGGAGATTACAAACATGACTTCTGAGCACTGTCATTTTTACTCCTGGGAATAGCTGTGGTGCTGAAAGTCATGCCAAATGTATGGCCCTGCTCTTAGTCCAGTCGGGTTGGTACATTCTCCAGGTCTTCTGATTTACTCATAACTGGCTCTAAAAGGCACTGCTAAAGCTAAGTAATAAGGGGACTGTTTTACTTGAAGGTTGGTTCCACAATCAGGGGATGCGTTGCATAGGCAGAAATAGAAGGAACTTTTAATTTGCTCTTTGTGTGAGCAGCAAAACAGTTAACCCAAAACGTTCTGAAGTGAATAACGAGTGCGTGAGTTTCAGATTCAACTGGTAATTTCCCAGATTCCTTTGAAGCTTTTCTGTTTTCTGAATGGGATAAGTAGCTTTGTTTTTCCTGCAGAGTTAAAATATTTTGGATGCAGCAGCTGTTCTTCCTGCATAATATGCTCATGTTGCCATTTTTCTCCATGGCATGAAGCAGAAATATAACAGATTTGTACTTTTTTTACTGTGGCAGGATAACCTGTTTGAAGGAACACTAATTTATTCTGATCAGGGTGAAGGAATAAGAAAAACAACCCAAAACAAATTACCTCCAAAAATTCCCAAACAAAAAAAAAAACCTAACAAAGGAAAAAAATCCAAGCTGTTCTTCATGATGATAGGTGTTAGACTTAGAGTATCATCTGTTACTCTCTACCAGCTGTCAATTAGAGGTTAAAAAATGTGGGGAAAAAGTTATGACATACTTAATTAGCTTATATCTGCATTTAGAGTTGGAGTTACTGTGCCACTGTTCAACCTCACTTGATGATCTTGGCTTCCTGTCTGACTTCAGACAGACCTAATCATTGCTCACTGTAACCACCATCCCTCAGTGATTGTCAAGCTATCTTCCTAATGAGGAGCAGGCATGAAATAATGATGGAGATGCTATTGATCTACAACTGCCTTTGCCAGGCTGACCACAGAAGATTGCTGACTTCATATAGTGCTGAGGCATTCTGCAGAATTTAGCTGTAGCTATTCTTTCTGTCTCTCCCTCTCTTGTAGAGGTGTCTTTTCAGAGAGAATATTTAAATTCCATGAATACAAAAAAAAATTATCCATCATTTAGCAATCTGGAATGGTAGGAGAATTAAGTTTTTGTCACCTATACAAAGGCACTTGCCTTTTCTGCAAATTGTGATTAAGTTCCAGTGTATGTGTCTTGGGGATCTGAGCTCATCAAGTGTGAGCACTGACCACATGTTTTATCTCCTGCTTCCTCTCACTTAACTTGACACTAGTTAACAAGAGGACTTTTTCTTTTATGCCTTGGAAGCTTGATTTCTAATGCTGTTTGAAACTCCAGGCATACTGTATCAGCTTGATCACTTCTCTGTGAATGCCATTTAAACTCCTTCTTAATGATCTTCACAGACTGGCAGCAGAATTCCCTGTGTGGTACAGACTAGACTTCAATTGCCTGTAGCTTTCTACAGCCCTGTTTTCAGATTTGGGTCCTGTTTCC